GTGGCCCATCTTCGGCGCGTGCCACCGACGGCACTGCACTCTGCTCCGTTTCAAATACGCAGCTAGTCTATTTTCGCCGGAGTACGCTGCAGTCACGCGTCAAGCTGGACAGAATATGACAGCCCAGACAGGAAGTCAGACAAGGAAACGCACAGAACATCCGGTCATTTTCAAAATAAAACACAATATACGGACTCGCGATCGTATTTTTCATCACTTTATCAACATTACGTCAAAACGGATCCAGTGTGAATGGGCGTGAGCCGTCCGACGGAGCAAAACCGCGGCGCTGACGGACCGCGGCGCACACGGAGTATGTGTGAATTACGGGGAAGGGTGCAGACTGCACATGTGTTGACTTCAAAAGGGGGATTTGACACCAACATTTTTCCAAAATCTGTAGCTGTCTGCCACTATCAAAGGGTAAAGGTGGTAGCAGAAAGTTGTTGAAAGAGGCTGTAAATGGACACACTGCTACATCCACAAATCGTCTGTGGGAGAGCTGATGCTTGGAGTGACTGTGAGAGGCTGGATGTATAGGCAAGATGATGTTTCCAGCCATCACCTGCACCAAGATATACTACTGAGCTTTTAAACATGTTTATTTTGTCACATTGTTGTGTACCGTCTGATTGCACTCACACATTAAATAAATGTGATTGGTTAAAAAATGTCAGAACTATGGGGGGTATTTGACATGAAGACGTTGGATCCTGAGGCTACACCAGTTGAGAACCACAGACTGATCATTTGAAGTCAGCTGAATTGTATGGCAGATATGTGTAGCTCAAAAGTTGGGCTGGTCCCTATTATGACAACTGGCATGAAGCCACTTGCGCAAGTAAACTCAAAACTTCTATTTCAGCTCCTGATGCTTCAATTTTTTAGCTTCGATCTCCATTTGCTCCATCCTTTTGCTCAAGAGTTCCACTTCTTTCTCCAGTTCATGTTTTCTTTTTAGTGATCCTGCACGTGCCTGGAGAGCTCTTTGCTTCAGCTTGTGCGCGTGTAATACACGTCTGAATAGCGTACTGTAAGGGGAGAAATAAAGAAGAAACAAACACGGTGTTGCTGGCTTTCATTCAATGGTGTTATGAATAATATGCAATAACACACATCACATTTTCATTGTACACAATTATACACTTAGACAAACATACATGCACTGTTTAACACCTTTACATCAGTGATAACAGCTAAGTTATTAAGTTGATAATCTTTCTGGCGACAAATGTACATTGTATCTTCATAATCTTTATGTTTATGATCTTTAGTTTGTTTGTTTCTACGTTAGATTCTTTCAGGTCTTGATAGAAAAACGTTGGCCTGTTATGTTTTCTACTGTTGCTATGGTGGTAGCTATGGACGCTATCAACAACGAACCGGAAGGAAGTGGATGTTCGGTTCGTGGCTCTTAAAACAGGTTACATCAGACCCTAGACATCAAACTAAGCTTTTATGCAATAAATAATGATTTCTGTTACATTTTTATGGATGTCTTTCATTACAATCAAATTTAATAAAACGATTGGAACAGATTGATGCATATTAGCAACATTATAAACTATAACATGTAACAATACATAAAGACAATACTGTACAGTTTGTGTGATTTAAATGATTTTATAATTTTATTTAAGAAAATAATCCTGACGGATTAGATTAATACCAGAAAATGCAATCAATAAAGTAAACGGCCGGCGATAAGAACTACAAACGGGCGCATGACACTGACATCAAATAATGACGTATTGATAATCGTCACTTGTGAGCGACCTCTTTATTAGATCTATCAGGGGGTATTTACTGATGCTTTTTAAGGTTGGTTGCAAAAACATATCTTAAATCTGTGTTAACCAAAGATCCCATTCCAGGAATCTAAGCAAAAACCCATTCAAAAAGCCCATTATGCTATGGTCTGCCAGTGTACTGCTGACATGCGCAATCGTGCAGTCACGCCCACTGTCGGTTTAAAGGCCGAGGGCGCGTTCACTATCGATTCAAAGCCCCCCCTCCCTCCTCTCTGTAGACTCAAATTTTAAATCCCTTTTTCATACACTTATGTTTGACCTAGAACCCCCCAAATTTTCACCAGTTGTTCGTGAGATTGGGAACTGTCACCAAAACAAAAACTTCCTTGGTCTCTTCTAAGAGATTTTGTGAGCCCACAAGTCACTTAATGCCCCACTCTCAATTTGCCAAACCTTTCACAATTGAAACACTTTTATCAAAACATCAAAAAAGGGTGTTAAAAAGTGTGAAAATGTTTCAAAAGACAGAGGGTCATTCTCCACTATATGCTGTATGCTTTGTGAACAAGACTGATGTTAAAAACTCCTTTTAAAGGTGCTTAAAAGAGCTAATTTGACCATTTGAGGCCTAGCAGAGACATGAAGCCTTTTGACCTGTTCAACCCTGTTGCTCTATGAAAGACATCAAACTGAATATTAAAACAATGACTGATGACAAATTAGATTATTAGACTCTTATAATAATAAGGAAAGAAGGATAAAAAAGTACTAGGATGAATGAGCACAAGAGATTTTTACTTTTAGCCATAATTCTAAACCAAGCACATAGTTCCCCAGATTTTATGATATACTTAAACCAAAACAAACCAACAAACAAACAAAATTAAAAAGAAAAAAAAAAGAAGAAAAAAACATTTTATTTACTGGGCTTTGAAAGAGCTCTATGAAAGTATGTGTGCAAGACCCCATGCCTATGAAATGAGAATAGTTAAGTTTTTGGCTTAGAGCCGACATACATCATTGGAAAGGTCACATCCTGGAGAGTAACATATGTGAAGATGAGGTTTCAACATGACCCCTGTTTTGAAATAATTCCCTTTGAACCTTGACCCAAGAGCATGTTTGAAGGCTTATACCTCAGCAACAAAAGGGGCTACAGACATGGGAATAACTGTTTTAGAGAGGTCTTGAAACAAAGTACCATGTGAGGGTAGTCAGCTCACCAAAACAACAGGGGGAGCTGCTATATATGGTTAAAATACATTTTAACAAATGTATCAATTGTTTTTTAAATATCTGATAACATAAATGTGTTAACCATCCAATTAAACTCCCCTGTGTACCCTCAAACACTGAGATTTGTCTAAAAGACTACAATTCCTCAGAGTCAAGTCATACAGCTTGATACTGAATGGCGCCATAATTGTAGTCTTTTCCGTTTCCAAAAAAAGGTTGTAACTAGGATTATAAAAGGCTTACAAAAGATATATTCACTGAATATGTCACAGATCTCGTGTGGCCGAAGTATTTATTGCATAGTACATATATGATCTATGTTGAAATAAAGTACATATATCAGTTAATTTTGGATATTTTGACTGTTATTCTAGAAACAGGAATTTTGGTAGTTATGTCTGGCATTGTGCACAGAGGGAACATAATTAGGGTTGTAAAAAATGTATGTCTTCCCACTATATCAAATATTTACTAAAGCCGAATGGGTTTTGTAAACTAATATAGACTATATATATTGTAAAAAAGTGGTCAAATCAAACCTGTTTTAAAAGATGGTATTAATCTGTCAGGATTATTTTGTTAAATAAAATCATATAAATCACACATGAACTGTACAGTATTGTCTTTATGTATCAAGGATTGTTACATTTTATAGTTTATAATGTTGCTAATATGCATCGATCTGTTCCAATCGTTTTATTAAATTTGGTTGTAATGAAAGACATCCATAAAAATTTAACAGAAATCATTATTTATTGCATAGGAGCTTAGTTTGATGTGTAGGGTCTGATGTAACCTGTTTTAAGAGCCGCGAACCGAACGTCCACTTCCTTCCGGTTCGTTGTTAATAGCGTCCATAGCTATCACCATAGCAACAGTAAAAAGCGTAACAACCCAATGTTTTTTCTGGTGAGACCTGAAAGACTGAATAAACGATATCATTCGCAAAGGATTGTGGGATGGGTAGTTCCTTGACTCCGGACGAAAATGATGTACACAGTCTTGAACCTATACCTTTGTTTCCGTTTTTAACGCCGTTTTGGTGCTGAATTGAATGTACTATAGTCACGAGTGTTGGGGTAGATTGGTTCAGTTCACGGCTCTTTTTTCGGCTGCTCTGGTTCCGGAATTAAATTTTCCCATTCAAATCCTCCATTGATTTTTCACAAAATCCTTATATCAAGAGATTGGCGCCTGGGACCAAGACAACGTCCACTTCCTTCCGGTTCATTGTTGATAGCGTCCATAGCTACCACCATAGCAACAGTAGAAAACGTAACAGTCCAACGTTTTTCTATCGAGACCTGAAAGAATCTTCGTAGAAACAAACAAACAAACTAAAGATCATAAACATAAACCGAATGAAGATTATGAAGATACAATATACATTTGTCACCAGAAAGGTTATCAAAACGACACTTACGCCTCAAACTATCTTAAAATATTGCATTTTCCACCGAAAATAGAAGGGATGTCCGCCATGTTTTTTTTTTTGCCAGGGGAAAACTGGGTATACCTGTGACCTGAGGTATGCCTATACAAAAGAATAGGCAAAAGGAAACGTAGGCATGTCACAATTTTAGAGCCCTTATTGTGAAACTACTATGTTTTGCGCTGTGGACCAACGTAGGTATTACACATTTTGACATGAGACTGGGTTGCCTGCACTCAACGCTTTTGTGGATAAGAATGGTCAAAAGACGTTTCACACGCCCCCTTTCTGTGACACGCTGAGAGCCCTAAGCAGAACGCCTGAGTTAACAGAAAAAGTTCATAATCAGCTCATGCTATCAGATATCTTTATCTGGGGCTTCTGGCTTTGCTGAACCAGCTTTCTTAAAGAAAGCCTGGATATGTTGAACTTGCTTCAGGACTTGCTTCGGGCATACAACAACTGACCCAAATACTGATCAATAACTTAAACAACAGCCAAATACCGCCACCTAGTGTCTAAATTGAGTTTTGTCTAAACTAAATGTGTTATATGTTTGCACTTCAGAAATAAAAGTTTCCATGGCTAACAAAAACCAGTATAAACCGGTTCTGCTCATCTGTCTGTAACTGTCCATAGGCACACTGCAGATTTGAAGAGAGAGGACACTTGGCTTCCATGTACAAGACACACAAGTCCCAGATTGAATCACTCTATCAGGTAAAGAGCTAGCTCACTTAAAAGTGATTTAAGAAGGTGGAGTCCTACAGAATCAGTAAGTAAGCCACAGTCCTTTCTAACACTCAGTTAATAATGATAAACTCTATGTATATTAAATTATACAAGCTTCTGATTTCTGCCTCTCAGATTGATTCTGCTGTTTCAGTTTTCACCTGTTAGCTCACATCCCTGGCTACTAAGTCATAGGCAAAAGTATTGTAACCCTGTTTATGTCATGATTATATGAGAATATTTAATATTAGTTTAATTTATCAGGCTGGCCCATGTGATGACAGTTTAAAATAATCTTCAATAGAAAGTGGCAGGAACACTTGTCTTAAAACATAAATTCATAAAGCTGATCATATTATTGGATTCATCCAGTCTTATTATATATTTGTTTTTCCTCTTAGATAGTTCTCCTGTCTTTAATAGGAAAACAAAAAACATGATCAGCTTCTTATTTATAAAGGCAAACTTTAGAAGCTGAAATTTAGCAGAACCTGAGGACAGATCTGATTTCAGGTCTGAGGCATAAACATCACAGTAAAATTCATTACACTTTAAATTTAACTTCATGATTGTTTTTTTTAATTACAGAATTCCTCAGATTCAGATCCTTCAGCAACCCCTGACAACATGGAGGACTCGTCCCCTGAGCATTTCCTGTCCTCTCTCGATGGAGTTCTTCTCTTCAGTTATTAACTCTTCAGTAGCACAAAATGCCAGACCCACCCTCCCGAAGCTCATCCTTAGCACCGTGGCTGAGTCCAAAGAGCACAAAGGTGTGTCTTTGTCGGCGGTGAAGAAGGCACTGGCCGCTAAAGGTGTGGATGTGAGCAAGGCTAACAAACGCATCAACACTGCTGTCATTAAGCTGGTAACAAAGGGCACTTTGTCCCAGACTAAAGGCAGTGGTGCCTCCGGATCTTTCAAGCTTGCAAAGAAAGAGCCCAAAGCCGACAAACCAGCGAAGAAGGTCGCAAAGAAGGCTCCAGCCAAGGCAAAGAAGCCTGCTGCAAAGAAAGCGACACCCAAGAAGAAGGCTGCAGTCAAGAAAGTAGCAGTCAAGAAGTCCCTGAAGAAGGCAGCAGCCAAGAAAACCCTGGTGAAGAAGGCAGTCAAAAAGCCAGCTGCTAAGAGTCCCAAGACGGCTGCCCCGAAGAAGGTGGTGAAGAAGACTCCAGTGAAAAAGGCTCCAGCTAAGAAAGCACCAGCCAAGAAGACCAAGAAGTAAATCTGCACACCACGATTCAATGCATCAAAGGCTCTTTTAAGAGCCACCACAACTTCTACTAAAGAGTTTGTCCTCACTAATACATGTATTTTCCCTTTTTTAATCATTATGGAATACATATTTAGAAGCATCAAATCGGCCTTTAAAACGTTTTGCTCGTGCGCAAAATCTGAGCCAACGGTAAGGTTCACCCAAAGAGCAGCTCGTCCACATATAACAGTGCTCAACCAACCTGATAGTCTCCACACATGCACACTATCAGCTACATGTTGCACACAAAGGAACTTTTTACCTGCTTCTCTTAAATACAGAAACACGAGCACATCAATTCAGCGCATATCAGCGCGCATCTTGGTCGACTGAATTACGCATGGCATCAAAGACCCCTATGCTGCCCCAAAAGTGCCTGTGTGGGACTTACTCATCTTTAACCACAAAAAAACCTACTCAAATATTACAGGTGCGTTAGTACATTATGACTGAACAAGACCATGTACAACATATCAAAAGTCAAACATGAGAATGGGGGGGTTCCTAGTGTCCATAAACATGCTTGACATTACTATGGGCCCCACATACACACAGAAGAATGTTGAGGGGTAGGGGCTCAAATTCACAAAAGACCTACTCCATTTGCTCACTTTTTTTCAGTTGTCATAGATACACATTTAAAACAAAGAGTTCATTGTTTTAATATTCAGTCATTAGTTTTGGAGAAGAGGATGTGTTAGGGCTTCCTGTCCTCTCCTGGGAGTTTTGCATGGCCGTTGCTGTCTGAGGTACTGAAATGACACCTGCTGGAACACGCTGTACCATTTGCTTTATTGCTCTTACTTCATTCATTACTCATTCATTGCTGCATGCTAGACACTTTTTATTGACTATTTTTGCTGTGTAGATGAATATATATTGATTCATGACAATTTGCTCCTAATTGTCAGTTGATTTTTATCCCTCATTTTACCTGTGACCTTTGAACCATTGATTTTCAATACAAATGCAATCTAAAGCACATTTGGACACTTATTTACACGTTCAGCAGATATGATTTGAATTCTCTTTTGCATCAATGGCCGTAGTCTTGTCTCTTTCAAAACGTTCACACTCCAGCTCTTTGATTTTTATTGCAGCAACTTCAGGACCTTGGACAATAATATTATTTTGTATTAGAGTGGTTTCATATTTTCAAAACTGTTTAGGTAACAGCAACAATACATTTGTATGTTAGACAATTGTTATACTAAATATTTACATCTTGTGTCCATCACGGTTTCCAGCAGGAAGTCGGGGGTTCTGGTGGTTATAATCAGTAGCTGTAAGCAAGGTCAGTGTTCTGTATACAGGTGTGACCAAACTGCTTCTCTGCATACATGAGGGTGTGCTTTTGGATGTTCTCCAAATCTGAAGTTGTCCTGTTGGGTAGAAAAGACAGACAGAAAAAAACCTTCTCTGTTAGTGACAAAGTTCTCACTTCCACTTCATATTGCACCAAATAACATAAAGGTGAGCAGAGTCCTCAGCTTGAAAATCAGCTGGAGAGATAGAAAGAGTCAAAATATAAATGTAGTGTGCCATTTCAAATACATTTTGTAATGGTCCTAAATAACAACAATGCTGCATGCATGCATAATTACAAATACAAGCATTTGCATGACTGGAATGTGATCTGCAAAATATATATTTGTGTGTTTGAGATGTAAGTCAAATTTACCTGGATTACAAGACATCAGCCTCCTCCTCTTCCTCCTTCAGTAGCTGAACACCTTGGACAGCAAACACATCATTCCCGAATCAAAAGACAAGTCGAATATTACAGAAAGTTACATAGTGGAGTATTGAGGCAGGGAGCCGCTGTGCGGACGTTGGAGAGACAACATTGTCGCTGTTAAATGTGATTACGCTGTTAGACCTATGTGTTAGACGAACTTACAAGCAAATATTTTAAGGTTGAAAAGTTACATATTGGGGCTTTAAGATGTTGTACGACAGAATTTGTGTGATGTTAAAAACTAAAGGTCCTCCTTTAACCGCAGACTGTAAATCTGGTTATCTGATGTCATAATGTTATACTCCACGTAAATGTCGACATTAACACTATCACTACTAGAAAGGCCATAGCGGTCATTTTGACTGTTTACGAATTATTTGCATATCATTTCAATAATCAATATCAAATATAAGAATAAATGGATCTGTAATGTTGTGAAAGGTATAATAAACTTCAGGACACAAACATGAAATTCTAATGAATTTGAAATTTGAATAGTTTATCGACAACCACAGGAACAGCAGCCGCCGTTTTTTGCGAATGGGAATGATCTCTGTATCATTCTCAGGTTCAATCTCAGAGCCAGTGTCAGATGAAGTTTCGAGAGACCAGGAGACATCACTTTCCGTATCCGAACCTGCGCCTCCATCAGACTCTGCCTCATCAAGGCTCTGGAGCATGGCTAAAGCCTCTGTGGCAGCAATCCTCCTCCTTCCTGACATTTCGTTCTATTCTATTCTATTCTACCCTAAATCAGATCCTAATTTACTCTATTCTGCCTTTTCAATGTTGATTAATTCAAATGTATGTCTCCTATTCTTTCTATATGGTTTTAGGCAGGTAAGCTTTCTTGATGCGCACCTTTAAGTAGTGGTGGGCGATATAACGATCTTAGATCGTGAAGGATTTTAACTTGCTGATGATCTGCCAAAGCAGAGAGATCGTAGAACCGGGCTAATGTGTTTATTCTATCATGCTGCAGTTTAATCTCCTACACAGACACATCTCCTCCTTTTTTGCTCCGCAGCGGTGAAAACAAAACTTAAAAGTAAAGTCCGCAAAAACAACTCCATTTCTGTTATATGCAACTGTTCTGATATTTTTCCAAACCGACACGCTGTGAGCAACAGCTAAAATATCTGCATAGTGTGCACATTTAAGATTAGTCTACATCTCAGATAACGACACGGAGAGACGTTAACAGTCAGAGACAGACAGGGCGGAGCTCAGACAGTCAGCGGAGATATAACGTTGTAAGCGGGTGGCTGACATTACTGGGATCCCTTTTCTGGGATTAAAAATCGATACCAGGGGTTGGTGGTCTGTCACAAGAGTGAACCTTTGGCCATAAAGGTAATGGTGGAACTTTTTAATACCCCACACTAGACTGAGGGCCTCACGATTGATCTGCACATAATTGCGTTCTGCGCTTGATAGTGATCTAGAGGCGAACGCAATAGGGCGTTCAGATCCATCCTTCATGAGGTGTGACAGAACACAACCAATCCCATAAGGACTAGCGTCGCAGGCCAGTCTGATGGGTCGTGCTGGGTCGTAATGGGTTAGCAGTTCATCTGAAGTTATCAGTCTTTTTGTCTCTTTGAATGCTCTATCACATTCCTCAGACCACTCCCATTTTGCTCCTGTCTGCAGCAGCGCGTTGAGTGGGTAGAGCGTTGTAGCGAAGTTTGGGAGGAACTTGTGATAGTAGTTGACAAGGCCTAAATACGACCTCAGCTTTGACACATTTTCTGGTTTTGGTGCCTGGAGCACAGCTTAAATTTTCTCTTTTGATTTTGTGTAAGCCGTGCTTGTCAATGACATGTCCACAGTATGAGATTTCGCTCCTGAAAAACTCACACTTATTTCTCTTCGCACGCAGGCCATAGCCTGGCAAGCACCTTGCTGAGATTTTCTAGGTGGTCGATTTTCTAGGTGGTCGTCATCATTCTAGCCTGTTACAATGATGTCATCAAGATAACACTGTGTACCTGGGATACCTTGAAACACCTGATCCATAGCTCTTTGTCAGATTGCTGGAGCAGAAGCAACACCATAGACGAGCCTGTTGTATTGGAACAGTCCTTTATGAGTGTTGATTGTGAGGAGTTTCTTGTTGGATTCCTCGACCGACACGGCTCGCCTTCAAAATAAAAGACGCGCGTTTGGAATCGTGTTAGCTATGTATGCTGTCATTGAGGACAAGCTTTTTTTTCTGTAAGCGTACTGTGTATTCTTGGCTTTATTACATTTTTGGAAGAGAGATTTTGCAGGTGAGGTAATTGTGGTTTACAGTAGGTAAACTTATTAATACAGTGTTAACGTTGTTCAAGCTGTTAGGCGAAAATATTGACTGAAATGAGGAGTTTAAACAACATTAAAAGACATCGCTGGGCTGCATTATTAAATCTTGTTTAACCTCGCTTTATCTACTAAGTGGAAATGACTTGTAGCAGTTTTTATGGCTTTCGTAGATGCGTATTCCATCATTTCATGTGGCTCAAAGCCTGCACAACATGCTGCAACCTGTATCATTGCCCCTGTGACCGCGCCTACAAGGGGGTCACAGGGGCCATCCGTACCATGCTGTACCCAAGCACGATTGCCCCCCTGCAGCGCCATTCCCCCGCTGGCCGGCGCGGCCCGCGGTCACACTACACAGGACTATCTGTGCCTAAGCACGATTACCTCTTGTACATATTGTCGTAATACAACACATGCACGCTTTAAGTTATTATGAAGCGTGCTCAGTTTACAAACAAGCGGATGAGAGAGAGAGAGTCCGCGCGGATGCCCGCACATCGGAGAACAACACAGAACATGACAGTTACTTTGTGGCTTATATTGTGTCATTTTAGTCAGACACAGACATCAAAATCTGGATTTTTCCTTAATGAAGGCTGTCAGCGTTGTGTACCCGCATGCTTGTGCTCGTGCATGAAGTGTACCATGCCGAAGCACACCTCTCCGAAGTGTGCCAAAGCCAAGGAAGTGTACCGTGCCTGAGCACGATATGGAGCAGTCACACTGGTCAAATGAACTGGACTTTAGCGTTGAAGTGTGTTTGAGCATGTTAAGGATGGCCAGTGTGACCGCGCCCTAATTGACTAAATAAACCCAACAAATTCTAATTAACCTGGAAGTCCACAGCAAAGATGCCATCCCGTTTTAAGGTATGTATGTATGCATGTGTATAGATCATAGACTGATCTATTACTGGACAAACCCTGAG